GCCGCAAAGGTCGCTGTAGTCCACATATTACCAGAACAATTCGTCACACCTGTAGGAGTTATTTCCATGACGCTACTGCGGTAAACGATGGGTCCATTACTGAACCCTCGATGATGAGGAACACTTCAATGCGAGGTACCTTCTCACGCTGTATAATGTCCAAGTATTGGCGAAGACACGTTCCCCAGTTGAAATGTTTGCTCAAAACTGTCGTCTCTTGGTCACTCGATTTGCTCATTTCAAGTTTCTGTGATGTCTTTGTGATACTTTATCGATCGTATGTGCGACTGCGTTTTCGTTTTTTTTCACGTACTCTCATACATATAAATCACGTCCAGAGCAAAAATGTAATTAAATATTTAATGAACTAATTTTTAAAGAGCCTCTATACTATTCAGAAACCAATGACCTGTGAGTGGTTTCTTTCTCGTCTTCCCTACCTTTCCTTCAGACACTATGTCCCACTTAACTCATACTTATTCATAAAGCACGTGGACAACGTCACCACATAAGCATTGAACCTAGCAGAATTTTGCGTTTTTTTCAGTTCCTCGCTGTTATGTGTATTAGCGCATCCAGAAACGCCCATAACAAAGTAAAATCAGTCGATTACCCTCGAAAACCATGCCAGATAAAGCAGAATGGGTGTGCGACATGGTAGTAAAGCATGCTGAGCTAATTCACAATCGATAATTTTTGTATATGCAAGAATGAAGAGCTTGTTTCCTCATGAGAACAGCTGAACAGACTGCTGTCATCACCTAATGCACCAAAATACCGGAAAGTCAGAAGAGAATTATGCGATCACTTTTTCTAGCGCCCTTTAGAGTGTACTTCTGAGACATCCAGCTACCGTGTATCTAAATGTGATGCACTTTCAAACTAAAACATTCCCTTTGTTCCAATTCTTTCCGTACCCTTAGTCTCTGCTCTATACACTAATTTGGTTCGCCATCTAGCGTTGCGTGTACGAGTACATTTCTTTATCTTGTTAACCTCGTGAACGACCGAAATCAGCGTGTGGACAGGGAACTTTGCTGTCCCGCCATTTACAATGTCCGCCGTACGCAAATTATTTGACCCGTTTCGTGGAACCCACTCCGCCCCATTTACGAGAACGCCCATATACACTTAGCCTCGAGCGCAACGCGCCTAATTGGAACGAGGCCATCCTTTTTATATTTTTTTTACCTGCGGTGCTTTCTACTTTTTATTTTTAGTGAACTTCGCGTAAAGCCAATGCTTTTGCAATAAGCGTCACTGGTTGGTGCATACCCTGATGGTGGCCGTGACAGGGGTGGTGATGGTGCCTGGCAGCTGTCTGGCATCATGGCAGACAATGTCTCCACCTGCACATACATACATACATACATACATACATACATACATACATACATACATACATACATACATACATACATACATACATACATACATACATACATACATACATACATACATACATACATACATACATACATACATACATACATACATACATACATACATACATACATACATACATACATACATACATACATACATTTTCGAACAAGGGTATTACGGCCCATGATATTGACAGGATCCTTCCATAACCTTTAGGGGGGGGGATGAAACACCAGCTGAAGTTTTATTTAAGCACGGAAGCTGCGGCCGGGCACCCCACCTGGAGTGCGGGGCAATAGTGACTGTAAGTGCCACGTGAACACATTTTAACACAGCGCACGACTCCACGGACACGAGAGAAGAAGAAGGGACAAACCGCAGCGCTTCTGCTCCCCCTTCTTCTCCTGTGTGCGCGTAGTCGTGCGCTGTGTCAAAATGTGTTCAAGTACTGTCACCAACTGGCCCAGCTTTCATTCCTTCTGCTGTATGCCCTACGTAAGGGTAGTACACCAACTGGCCCAGCTTTCATTCTTTCTGCTGTATGCCCTACGTAAGGGTAGTACACCAACTGGCCCAGCTTTCATTCCTTCTGCTGTATGCCCTACGTAAGGGTAGTACACCAAATGGCCCAGCTTTCATTCCTTCTGCTGTATGCCCTACGTAAGGGTAGTACACCAACTGGCCCAGCTTTCAGTCCTTCTGCTGTATGCCCTACGTAAGGGTAGTACATATACATTTACTCTATCGGCGTGGTCGATTGGCAGCGTCTGAAGGGACACTCGCGCGTTTGCGTTGGTATTTTCTATGAAAAACATTTCGCCCACTTTTTTTTCATGGTCTTCGCTAGCTTAACATAGCAAGGAGAAGTGTGGACGCTAGTTGTTTACTAGCTCAAATAGCTAATTGTTATCAATTTTTAATCCAACGCTGCCCGTAAAGCGATGCGATTTCGCTTGTACTCACACCTGTGCCAGGCGTTCTTGTTCCCACTGTATATTGTCAAAGTCGTGTTCACGTTATGCAGTACATCACGAATTAGTTTACTTGACTTAAACATTACCTTCACTTGCGTACCGAAAGAGAGAGAGAGTGAAAGCTCTTTAATGAAAAACTGTATAAGAGAATCAGAGAAAGACAGCAAGAAGAAAGATGGAGTGATTAACTAGGACAGAGTCTGGTCGGCTGTCCCGGCAGTGGCAAATGGGGGGGGGGGGGAGGAGAGAAAGTTATAGCGGAGGAGAGAGAAGTCACTGATCTAGCCGACGCGTAACAATTGCCCATTTGACATCATAAAGACCTTATAACGTGTCTGAGTGCTCGTTGGCGCACTGGAACACCCACTCTTCACTAATTACCCATTTATTCGGAGGACATCAGGAAGCTGCCAATTATAGTTTTTCGTGCGGAATATGGAGCCATCTTGACAGTAATTCAGTAAGCAGCTCGGCACAGTGCCTGCTAGATGTGGGGGATACTTACGGTTTCCAAGCGAAAGTTAATCTACTTGCGCTTAACAATTTTAGAGCAAAGATCGTTTCATACTATATTTTGCACTATATTTATCACATTTCCTCTCGCAGTCACCATGAATGGCACTACATCACATGGCACTATATTTTATCACATTTCCTCTCGCAGTCACCATGAATGGATGCTATGAGCATCTCTCCGACAACGTACACAGCGTTTATGGCAGCGACTACGTCTTGCATTACCGCAGCTACAACAACTACAGAGTGTTTTAATCGGAAAAACAACTTTTATATCGAATACTGGGTATAGTGTAAGTATGGCAGCAAGCGTAGCAGAATATTAAGGACAATAGGCTGGTCAGATTCTAAATAATGCTGCACTTTCTCATAGGGTATCTTACGTATGATATTTCGTGTCACTTTTGTTCCTTCCAATACAGTGTAGCTTATGGATACTTTCCCTGGGGTACCTCCTTGCAACGAAGAGGGGCGAAGTTTTCGACGCAGAAGGCAGCAACTATGCATATTTTTACAAAGTACTTCGGCAGGAAAGTAAATGCATGCACTCAAACTGCCTTCAAGAGGAACTTGAGGTCACAGTGCTCATCACGTGACAAAGGAAGCGGGGAAGGTAGACGAGTGAACGACGCGTCCTGTGCACAGAATGGTCGTAAATAATCAACGTCCCCTGCACCGATGCCACTGCATCGCCAGAGAAAAGCTCCTGTACTTCTTTGTGAATGTCTCGCCTTTAGTATGATTAAAACAGTCATGCCAAAGATGATTCATTAATTTCACGTAGAATAATGATTCATTTTTTTATTTCTGGATTGTTATAGTGAACTAACGAGAGGGTCTCAATCAGCGATTGATTGAGTTGAGCGTTCGTACATTCTAAAGGCAACGTGCAGTTATGCAGCGTACGTCAGTTACATGAACAGCTTAAGCTTCCTACTAAGATGTCTTAAAAGACGGCGCATTGCAATGATTATTATTATTATTATTACTATATTATTATTATTAGTAGTAGTAGTAGTAGTAGTAGTAGTAGTAGTAGTAGTAGTAGTAAATTTACAGTTAGTTAAGAGCATTAATAGCGCGAAAGAATGAAGAACTGAGAGCTAGTTTTCATTGTGACAATGAGATTGAAGAGACGAAGGATGAGACAAAAAATGATCATTGAATCAGTAATGCAAGAGGAATTCATGTGACAAACTGAAAATAACTTTGCGAATAAAAAACGGTAGCCGTCGCTCTCTGGTGTCGGAGATAAGTCGCATTATCAGAGTGTCCTCACACGCAGCGATAATGGCCTGTGGTATCGCCTGCTGCACCCAGAAACACTGCACCCATAAATGAAACGGGTCCACTCGCCCTATAAAAGCGTGAGCGATCTCCATGAAAGCACTAATCATTCGAAGGAGTTGCCAAGGCTTATCCAACGTGCGCACAGACTTGAACCATCATGTCGTAGGCAGAAAATCTACTTTCGAAAGCTTGATTGCTTCAACACCCGGTTACGCGTCGACCGTACTGCCGTACTGCGTTCACGCCACCGTACATACGCTCGATAGAGAGAGAATTTAACGGGCGAAAAGGAGGTGAGCCTGTCGCTGTTTTCTCGGGTAATCAGCACCCGTTTTCGGGCTCGCCGAGAACACAGCGCTCCCACTTGAAACAGTGCTGCCTATTACGGGGCAGCCGGAGACAAACGACCACACGCACTCGCTCCCACTTGGCAGAACGGCAGGCACCACCAGTGCGCTGCAGAACCGGCGGCGCGTACCATCATCAGGGAGCATCCCTCCAAGACTCGACTGAGGAGGATGAGGGAGAGAGTCTGGCGTATAACGGTTGTTTCTCGCTCGCGCAAACACACACATAAGAGAGGGACGTCGAGATGAACGGTGACGTCACGCTTAGCGGGCGAGTCAGTCACCTGGTCGGTCCGGGTAAGGGGGTCGGTGGTGCAGCCGGGTGCAGCAAAAGAACAAGTGCGGCAAAAAGGGGGCCACGCGACGAGGCAGCCCCTCCTTCTCTCCGGCCCCCTCGCTCCCCCACTCGAAGAAGGGAACAGGTCCTGAGGCCCTGCGTAGGCTGGGCGTCCCGCTTCCGAAGGACCGGTTGTCCGGATCACTCGAGCCGAGCGCGCTGCCGCCGGAGGAACCAAGCCGCCGCATCGCCCGTAGTTGAGCGAGCCGCCGCGGACACTAGCGTCATCAGCCGCCGCACCGAGGAAGGGAATACCGCCGCCGCCGGACACTCCAGGAGTGGTACCACAGGAGCAGCGTCAGCAGCGCGTCGCTGGGAAAGATAGGGACATGGGCACCTGAGGTGCTCGGGGGTGCGCGCGTGTGTGTGTGTCTGTGTGAGCGCGCGACGGAGTCGTGCCGTCGCCGGTCTGAGCCCCTCACGACGAGAGCCATGGCGGCAACAGCTGCCAGCCGGCCACAGCGGGTCCACTCGGCGATGCTGCTGTCAACGCCGGTGCTCGTCCCGATGCTGCTGCTCGGATTCATTGCACTCGCGTCAGGTGAGTTCACGACGAGGGACGTAAAAGTGATGTACTAGTGCGTGGTTGAAAGCTCTGGCCGCCTGTATGTGTGGTTCCAACTACCGGCCGCCTGTATGAGGTCGCAGAGTGGAAACGAGAACTATGTACGCTTCGGACAAGTGCCGGCCACCAGGCCGTGCTTCTTCGTTATCTCGTAACACCCTCTTCCTCTTTTTATAGTTTATTCCCAGCTCTGTTAAGCGATCGTTTACACTATGAAGGACTGGTTCATTGAGGACGTCCTGCAACGAGAACGTATACCATCGAGAAAGTTACTGGGCTAAGCACATCAGTATGCCAACAAAAGAAGCAGAAAAAAAAGCTAGGAGGCGACTGTAAGCGACGCATGCGATAAAACGTGTCCCCGTGGTTCGTTCGCTTGTTGGTTTCATGACTGGATTTGACTGCCAGTACTCTCACTGGACACGCGCGTCCGATTCACCGCCACCGAACGAGCCATTTCACTGTTTGTTTCGTTGGCGCGTGATGACCGCGGTGACAGCTGTGATGCCCGATGCGCTACGCACGACTGCGGCCACGTCGCTTGTCGGGGATGAAATCTGTACCTCTGTGTACAGGAACGTCCGAAGAGTGAAATCTGTGCCCTGGCGTGCGACGCAAGCTTGTCACGGGATCGCTTTCCGGCTGGCTTCGATATTAAGAGCCCCACGTCTCGTTATCCCAAAGTTTCCGTTTTCATTCTACGTGGTAATGGTTAGTATTGTTGCGCATCACTTAAAAACAAAGCAGTATTTGATGGAGTATTCAATACCAAAACATTACACTTTTCAATTTTCAGTTGACATCTTGCCTTTCTTTTCTTTTTTTTAAGCGCTTGACAGACGAAAAGAGCCGTGCTTTATAGACTACACTGAGAGACAGTAGGAGAGTTCACCTATTGTTGACGATGCACGATGAAGTAATAACCTGAACTTTGATAGCCATGTCATACTTATTTGCTGTCCAAAGGTAGGGAGAACAACTGGCTATTTTCTTGAGGACGAGATGCCATTTTAGCTTCTTTCATCGCTGTAAAAAGAACCTTTTCATATAATCTTGACACTACTGCCAGTATAATATTGGTCTCACTCTTTCCAAGAAATTAATGAATTTAGTAAAACTAAACAATAATTCAAAAGGGCACCAACGTCCTCTTAAAAGTAGTTCCAAAACAAATACCCATCCCTAAAGATATAGCCGCTTCAATTGGGAGTCTCTTGTTTGAGTGAGAGAGAGGTACAAACGAGGGAAGCGAAGGCACGTTAGCCTAAACTAAGAGTTGTGGTTTGGTACCCTTCACTATGGAGAACAGGAACGATGCATTAGCTAGTCCGCTGCCATAGTTCTCATGCATTAGCTAGTCCGCTGCCATAGTTCTCACTAAAGTTAAGCTCACCAACGCCGCCGGAGTCTTCTGGCGAGGGATCGCGACAGTTTCCCAGACGGGGAGAGTTCGTCGACTGGTAATGGCTAAACGTTGGGCAGCGAACGCTTGGGTGTGCCCTACTTTTTTTTAAAGGACTCGCACTGACCCTCATGCACGAAAGTTGACGCGCGTTATAGCACGCGTGCCACCATATACCCGCGTCAAGAGTACGGCACTGATGCAATCTACAGTTAGGTGCGCCTGCTGCGGCAAATAAACATGCCCAAGTGCGCGGTTACGTAAGGGAAAGGGGGAGCGGGACAACAATGAGAAGACGGCCCGCAAGCTCTGCTAAGTGTGACCCCGTTCTCAAGACCCGCGTTCGCCGAGAGTTCACCACGGTTTCGCCGTGACAGTGTTTTTTTTTTTGATAAGCGGTCAGTTGGAACTTCGAGGCACGTATTATGTAGGGACGCCCAGAAGAAAGCTCTTTGTATTCTCCGCCGCACTCGTCAGAAACAGCTGGGCCTCAATGTTTATTTTTTCTTTATCAAGCTAATTAGCGTATAGAAATGCAAGGCACTGTTGGTTTATACAAATGTGCTGCGAATATGCGTCCCTGGATTGTTTTGGGGAAAACGGCTTGGGGGAAAACTTCGGCGTGTTGCGAATCGAAGGAGCCGAGATTCTCGTTCTCGGCTGGAGGTTAACCGGTCGCCTCGGAGGAAAGCAACTAGGCCTGCGTACAGCGCAAACGCAGTGGACGCAAGGCCACCCGAGTCGCACTTGCTCGCCATAGCTACGTGGTACGAAAATTGCAACACTATAAGCGCTGCCCTGCTTCTCCCAACGGTGTATACGTCTTTGTCGCGAGTGGTCAGCGGTGTGTGTGTCGTCTCTTTCTTTGTGGAGTGTCTGTGTTTGCGCTGTCAAAGCACCTCTACAATACTTGTATAGGGCCCGAACTTTCATCAGTTATTGGGTTTTCATATTACTTAATCCGTTCTTAATTCATGTTTCTCGTTCGGTTTGTCCCCCCTAGCTGGGCGATCGCGGTATGACGCTGTTGCAATACTTTCTTACATTTGTGGTGAGCTATACGACAGCTGTACAAAGTGCCGGTGTGCTACTAGATGTCCGTATTATGGCAATGGTTACGCAAGTACGGAACCCTAAAACCTTTTCATTTATTTTTCTTACACGAGTAAGCTTCGCGGCGTACGTGCACAAGTGCATCGCAGTGGGGCACATACGTCCTTGAATAGTGCAGATGATCAGGTGGACTTAGGATCTAATTTTGTGTGGCGTAGCTCAGTGTACAATCGCATTCATCTACGCTTGCGAGAAAGCCATCGATGTTCGCGGGGATTGGGCAGTGGTTGCTGTTGTGCTTGCAGTCGTCTGACCGTAACTAGTAACCCCTCTTAGTCATATAAAAGTAATCGATGTTGAGTGCACAGCGAACTGACATTGCTTTACGTAAGCCTCGCAGCACAGAAGAAGCGTATGCCTAGACCAGGTTGCTAGGTGTGTTGCACGAGTTAAACGCGCGCGCATAGACCAGTCAGAACCGGCCCCACGGGTCCGTGGCAGGAATCGTTAAAAACTGAAAGCTGATTGCACTCCCCCACGACGTCGAGTCTCGGAATTCAGTATACACATACGACCTCGCTCACGGAATGAACCTTACCTCTTCCTCCAAGGTCGTGCGAGGCTCCTATATAGTCCCCGACTTATCCAGTATACCGCCAATGGCGGCGAGGGCCTTCACAGACTGTTGCGCTGTTCGAGAGTCTTACACACCGCGCGGCATTGCTGTTGCTCCCGTATTGCAGGAAGCACCGCCAACGCCTGGACGTCTCTGCACCATTATAGTACTATACAGCCCCCCCCCCCCTTCACACGCACACAGGACACTTCGCGCGCGAGATGGGACCATGTATATGGCAGATACGACTTATCAGAAGGGCAATTTAAGGCCGAATTTCAGCTAGCAGCATCATACGTAAGCGGAGACATTTATCAGCATTATACGCACGTTGTCTTAAAACTGAGCTGGACCAATTTCCCGTTATTTGCATTCATGTCCCTAGCTGTTGCATGCAACTGTCACTACCGACTTTTTTTTTAATTTCCTCGAAGCTTTCATGTTATTGCCTTACTCGGCGCAGTTCTTGAGCGTGGCACCTTATACGCGCACACATTTACATTCACGCTGTGGAAAAAGCTAGACCCACAGATAGACAGTCAAAGAGAGAGATAGGAGAGAAACAGGTAGTAACGGCTGTGGAGGTTTTACGTCCCAAAGCAGAATAGTATTATTAGGGTACTAGTAGTGGAGGCGGCTCCGGAAATTTCTACCACCCGGGGTAATCTAACGTGCGCCTAAATCTAAGCACACGGCCCTCAAGCGTTTTTTTTTTCCCTCTATCGAATGCGGCAGCGTCTCGTATTTAACCCCGTGACGTTCGAGCCAACAGTCGTGTACCATCACCGATGAACCACCACAGCGGGTAGAGAGAAAGTGACCTGCAAGCGGCGGTGCAGTCTATGATTCAATCCACACGTCTATGTTTGAAACTTTTTTTCCCTCGTAATACACACCTTTCATCTGTGAACGTCGTCAGCCACGTACAAAACTGGCCTTTTTTTTCTTTGGTTGTTGTTTTGTTTCGTCCATGCTGTCACGTCCATTTCGTGCCCTAAATCGTTCCGCGCGCCCTACAGTGATGCCGCAGTGGTGGCCGACCGCTTTTCTCTTTATCTTTCTTTTCTTTTTCTTCACGTCTTACCACCTCGAGTCATCGTCCGGCATCAACGCGTGCAGGAGCTTGTTAAAGCGCGACGTGCAGCGACCGACATATCGCGAACCTCGCCGCTTCGGGCAGCAAAGGCGAGAATGAAGAACGCGCCGCCGTGGCTGTGTTTGTGTGCGCGTGTGTGGCTGCACCGGGCGAAATTTTGAGGCCAGCGAACGTGAGGCAGTTAGCGGCAGCAGATTGTGCTACTGCACCTCGGATACACACGTGCTGGGCTAAATTCGGTCTGTTGCACTCGCGTTTAGCTAACAGAGTGCTTTAGCAACTCTGGTTTAACGTGTGGAAAGTACGAAACGTCGTACCATCGTAGTCGGCATGTGGCATTTCTATTTTATTTTATTATTTAGCCACGCTAATTGCTCATCACGCCCAAAAAAAAAAAAACCTTTGCTATGATCGAATTGGCTGGTAGAACTTTTTCGGACTAAAGGAATTGCGTGTAGACTACGATGATACAGTATTTCTTTACGTATATATAGCTATAGCTCGCGGTAAACCGCGACTGCTAAAAGTCCTAACTAGCTGGAAACTGTGTAGGACCTGCGACATTGAGCACGATTTCTTTTTTCGTGGAGCTTTCTGACAGTGTTACTGTCCACTCAATATTGTTCATAAGCGAGAGTGAAATACCTCCAAAATATCTTCTCGTTCAAGTATCGAAATTCGTTATATATATTTTAGTTATTATACATTTTGATGTGAGATGATGACCATAAGTTTGAGGAAATAAATCTTTACTTCGTCATTGCCAAAGATGCTTTGCAGTGCGCTTAAAAACAATTGTGTTGTGAGTA